AGGAGAAGAAGAAGAAGAAGAAGAAGAAGAAGAAGAAGAAGAAGAAGAAGAAGAAGAAGAAGAAGAAGAAGAAGAAGAAGAAGAAGAAGAAGAAGAAGAGTAAAAATAATAATACGATCATGTTATCGACACATAATTTTTCGTACATTTTCTCATTATAGAATATTCCCGTGGCATTTTATACTCGACAAATTATGACAAAGAAAAGTCAGTCCGTTAGTATGCAGCTGATATTGTCGTAAGGAGAAGAAAGAAACGTGGAAATTTCGCAATAGTGAACAGCCACATTGCACGCTTCCTTCATTTTTTATTAAATGTCTTTGCACCTTGGAGGGACCATGTATCTCATTTTTCGACCTGAAATGTTGAAATTGTATAAATGATCTTGGTGTCGTTGATTGCAATTGTGTTTAAGGGTTAAGGTTGAATGCTTTTCGAAAACACACAAAGATCTACAAATTCGATAGCTCTGTTGTTGGCAAATTATGGAGCAGTTTGGCAGAATTAACTAATCCGCTGAGCTAAGAATTTTTAGCTTCCTTCATTTGTGACAGTGTATCTTTTCAACAACAATATTTTAAACAAAATTATTTGGTGCCTTTATTTTCAACACCCGACTCTGCTATCCATTTTTCGTTCTCTCTTTTTCTTTTTTCAAAACACTGTACTGTTTCTGTAATATTTTTTAAAAATTATTTGGTGCCTTTATTTTCAACACCCGACTTGAAGTGAATCATAATACATCTTTTGTTATAAAGACAATGTAGTGGAGAGGGAGTTGATAAGCAAGGGTTCTCTCGGCCATTACTCGGGAGGTTAAGAAAATTTGTTTAAATAGATCCTATATCAAGAGTCTAAAAACAACGCTTTCTTATCTAAAAAGCTGTAAATATTTCTATTTTACTTGAAAGTGTTTCTGACTTGATGTAATTTCTGTGAATGAGATTCTACTTTTGTTTCAAAATTTTGCATTGCGTTTTATTGTCTTTTTTGTTGTAGATGTTTTTGTTTCTGTCTGAAAGGAGGATGAGAGGCAGGACAGGGCAATAAAGGGGGTAAAGCGACTCACATAGACACGATGCGGTTAATGCGACTATTCTGGTTCTTACCAGAACAGAAACAGTACAGTGTTTTGAAAAAAGAAAAAGAGAGAACGAAAATGGATAGCAGAGTCGTTAGATTTACTCGGAGCTCTCTCCGACCACCTGTTAGCTCTATATGTTCTCCTACTGTTCTCACTAATCCAGCGTTCAGAGACAACGGATTTCATTTCATTTTCAGGCAAGTCTATTAACATTTGTGAGCGTGGGCTCTCTGGGCCTAGATGTTAAGGTGTTCGCCTCTCATTCAATAAGTCACGGGTTCGAATCCGGATAGCGACGCGGAAAGTTTTCTTTTGAAAATTGTCTCCTTTCACTTCCATTCCTGCTCTCAAGCAATGTTCTATCGTCTGCTTTCGTCTCCACTTTTTGCTTCCACCCCCTCACCTCCTTTGCCTCCTCCTCATGGCTCCTGACTCTTTCTGCAGCCTTTCTACAGCTACTCCCTGGCTCTTTCTTACCGCTGCCTTTCAATCACACCCCTGATATTATGGTAGGAAAGATCTAGAGTCTACACCTAGCTTTCTCGGACAGTGGCGAAAAATCTCGGAGGCCACTTCTGCAAGTTGCGGACGTTAAAGTTAAAGATCTCTTGGTGATTCAAAATGGATAAGAGTAGACTTCGGCCGCCACCCGGGCAAATTCTAAATTTCCTACCAACTGAAAATGTTTAATACTTCTTGCGCGCTCATATTATGACCTTATGAAGTTGCGAGCTCCGTAAAACACTTATACCCCTTGGGGCGGTGCCACTGACTGAAGTGTCTTCAGGCCATTCCTAAAGGGGGACATTTCTCGTTCCAGTGCACAGTAGAATTGTAAATGGGCTGATCTAACAATGTCATGCTCATAACTGTACCTGAACTACAATAGGGAACTGCTGCTTTTTCTTTCCTAATCCTTACTATCGTCATTTTACTCTACTTCTTTTGTATGTTTGTCACACTCCTGTCACCCGCTATTTCCGGGGTGCCTTGATAGTCAAAGAAGACTTTGTGCTGCTGAAGCTAGAGAGGTTAGCAGAGTAAGTCTGATTCCCTGTAAGGACTTCTTTGTTGACATCCACCCCTTGGCGCTCATATGACCTTATGCAGTTGCGAGCGCCTTAAAACCTCTACTAAAACAAAATGTAAAACACGCAAAAAAATAATAAAGACTGTGAATTTCGTCGAAATGCACTTGAGATTTATCAGCGCAGGCAAGTCGCCTGTCTATCACCATCACCAGTATACAGTGGGTGTTGCATTCAACGAGGTTGCCGGGACCGCTTGGTGTCCTCGTTCGATCCGACCTCTCATTGAACGTGACCAAGGCTAAAGTAAAGAAAGGAGACATTTTTTGTAATAAATTACCCGATGTACCAATACCAGTAATTAAAACAGTTGTTCCCCCTGATGACGAAAATCTCAAACAGCATCAGTGTGCGCGTGTTTCAGCTGTGTTCTGACCGTCATTTCTGCATTTTAAAATATCTTTTTTTCCGGAACACTTCTCGTGAGGAAGCATACCCTCTCACATCTAGGCCTAGGCATAGATCTACATAAAATAAAGGCGGGATCTTGGATTTTCTTATCAGGGGAAGAAAAGAAAATTGAAAAAAATGAAGGTCTCGATCTAGACCTACCCATCCAGAGTTCATCCAGTTCCACACAACCTGCATCGCGTTCCTTCCAACCACCTCTCATCCCTACCGTAGGCTTACCCTCGCCCATCCTCCTGGCTTTGGGGCCCGTATTAGGAGACACACTAGATCTAGCAATTACAAAATACAAGATACAATTAGTTAGGAATCGAGGATGGGCCTTGTGCTTCGCATGAGATGGAGAGAAAAGAGAAAAATGCTTCGCTTTTGGGGCGTAAATTGCTTTTATTTGGTTATCACGACCTCGTTGAAAGCGACTTCGGTCTGTTTGCGACCTCGTTGGAGCCGACGTATATTTAAAAAGAGATATAGAGGAACAAATCGGGGATTAAGGATTGCCTCGTTGGAGCCGACTTCTCGTTGAATGTGACCTCGTTGGATGTGACCTCATTGAATGTGACCTCGTTGAATGTGACCTCGTTGAATGTGACCTCATTGAATGCAGCACCCACAGCACTGTACTATTATGCCTTTAAACCGGTTACTCTTTGCAGGCCTATTCACAATTTTCGTTCTTACTTCAGAACAAATTATTAAACCTCTTCCTCTTCGCAACTCTCACTATGAGCACAGAAAGGCAACTAAAACAACAAAAAAGAGCCCTATTCTGAATCTTAAAGTAGCTGGTACACCATTTTGAACCACGCAAAATTCTTAACCAAAAATGTTGGCGGCCTGTTTTGATGTAAAGATGAAGCAATTTATTTCCATGATCCCTGCGTGACTCTGAAGGACGGAAATGTCCACATCTGCCCAGCTGCCCTCCACCCCCTCCTACACACTGCGCACTGCACACGGGTAAACTAGCTCATGACCTTTGATAACCACCAGGGAGCAGGTGCTCACGTAGCAAATACAGGCTGTTATGCAGCTATTATGGAGATTCAGAGATAGTACGTTCATGCTATCGTGATAATAACGCTCCTACTGCTGAGCCAATTTTGTCTGTAAAAAAAAAGAGACCACCGAAGGACGTAACAGTCATGTAGTGTGGGCGATTCCAGAGGGACGAGAGCACAAAGTAAGGGGTGCAATTTTAGATTTTTTCTAGAAGAATCCTAGGGGAAGAAAATAGCAGAACACAGTAACTCACTTTTCAAAATGAAAGGATAATGATTTAGATTTACATCCACGCTGTCTTTTAACCACGAAGATAGTAGGACATCAGCGGACTGATTTAGAAGGGGCTTGTATTGTGTGTTTAGTTTTTGATTTATTCGTTAGCTGTCAACATGACTGACTCTTATTCTGTCGCAAAGACGACAACTGCGCAACATTCCGGACGACTGCTTGTCGTTTTTAGCAACCATTTGTTGATTATTCTTTTGTTTGTGAAGAAGATAATAATACCAAGTTTTCTATTATTTACGTAACTGGGTTGCTGCAAATTTGGAATTGGTTTCCTCCTGTGAAAAAAACACTAAGTAGGGGAGTGGGGGCTGCTATACAGAAACAGTTTTCACGTTTGACCTGTTTTGTAGGCTCGTGATCAGATTACGCAGTGGATAAGATCGCCACTCAACACTAAATATTCCCCAAGAGTTGCTGATAGAAACAACTGTGTCCTTATAATTACAATCATTTCTTTGATCCTGAGCACTGAATTGTTAATGATAACAATATTGCCTCAAAGATTGAACAAGTTCTCCATGCAATGGATTCCTTATCATGTCGAGAGTTTTAAAGTATCTATTATTTGCGGAAGACCTTGCTCAATTTTAGTGTGAATTTTTTTTTAATGCATCATATTTCTTGTCATAACGAGGAAAAAAGCACGTAAACAAAACACTTGAGGGATTGAAAACAAAATGAAGTAATATGAAGTAATCATTTAATCTCTTTTGTTTTTGTTTTGTTTTTTGTTCCTGTTTTTGTTTTGTTTTGTTGTTGTTGTTTTCATCCTCCGAATTTGGCTCTGGCATTCTGCAATATTAATGTAGTCCGGCAAGTTCTGTAATGTCTCCTGTTGGCTCATAGGCCTGTCACTTGAATAAATGATGCATCTTTTGAAATATTTTTGCTAAGTAATTGATTGAAAGCCAAGAATGATATTGTCAAGAGCTGCTAGAGTCCGGTCTTCAGACCTTGTTCAAAACCCATTACTTAGCCCCAGTGCTGGGAGTGAATCTATGAAGAGCGAGTTTTACTGGAACTAGAGAAGATAAAAATGAGCCCAATTTTATAGACAGATGAGGGTGAATATTCTACAATTACAGATCTTGGGGAGTGAGGAGGTAATTCTGAATGAGTTGTTATTAATTCCCTTTTCAGCACTGACCATTATTGCACAGAGCAAAATGAAATTACGATTATGTTTTTGTCATTCAAAGATCGGAGGAAAAAATATCTAGCAGCAAAAATAGTAATAATCGGCAACACAAATCATCCGCAAGTATTGTTACCTGCAGTTAGGATAAGACCCAGAAGATAAGGCTTATCTTAGAGGAGGCGACTTAACATGCAACATTAACATTTAATTTTCCCCAGGGGACGAAGGCAAAAGAACGCCATCAGCGTCTGTGGTGTAGTGGTTAGACATTTCACCGTCACACACAAAAGACCCAAGTTTCATTCCTATGTGAAGGGAAGTGTTATCGAGTATCACGGTCTTTCTGCTGGGATGTATTGTCCCATTGCTCTCAGACTCTCAGCCCGGGTTGGCCCTGACGGTCATGGCCGAAACCCACTTCCCAAATGATCTAACTTTGTATCTATTAATGCTTTAAAACACCTGCATTAGAAGGGACATTTAAACAATGGCTCATACCTACAAGAAAAGAATGACAAAACATTTGTGTGACTGAGACGCAGAAAAGATATCGGACAGTTCTTCTTGTGCCTACCCCCCCCCCCCCCCCCCAAACAAACACACTGTGGGTGGTTGGCGGGTGCTCTGGTGTGGTTTGCTTCTTCTTTCCTATCAAACATCTATCGTCGTTATCCCCCCCTTCTTCTTTTTTATGTTTGTTACTCTCTTGTAACACCTCTAATCTTCTGGCGCTCATATGACCCTATGCAGTTGCGAGCGCCGCAAAACCCTCTACTAAAACTAAACACACACACTTTCCTCCACTCTTCCTCTCACAAGAAAAGAATCATAATAAAAATTAATATCATCATTTATTCAAACTGCTCTTAGTTTGCTTTGCTTTGTCTGTTGTTCTTGGTATCATTAAAGTGACTCTCACTGTCGTCGTAAATGTGTATAAAATGCTACAAATCTCCATCACGCGGAAAATGGGACTGTTTACAGAACTCTCGCTCCTCACAAAACATTTTGCATACACACATATTATTATGTCCTACTTCACAGCTCACAAAGACATTTTTTCGTGGCAACACTAATTACAAGAAATTAATGTAATAGGGAACTCATTTTTTGCCATAAAAGTACTAAAACAGGAGTTCAATAAGCAAAATGTCGCCGTTAGGAAAAAAAAAACGACGGACTTGCTTTTATAAGCGACATTGCCCCAGCTGTAAAACTTTTAAAATCTATGGAAACCACTCACTTGGATATTTTATTAGTGTATTTATTACGGAATTTTCTGGAATACAGCTACCAGGTGTTTACAAAAATGCTGAGAATGTAAGACGAACTGATACAATTAATCATTGCGCAAAAGTTGGAGAAGGTATCTTCGACAGTTGGAGAGATTGTATTTAACATGTTGTGCCACGAATTATTGACCGCGCTGGGCTTATATTGTTCAAGACAATACACTGATGCGCTAAATGAAAGGTTTGTTGCCTCAGGGTCAAGCAGTGGTTGGAAATTGTGATGTCTTTAACAGCATGTTTAATTCCCTCTGTAGAGCAGACTGAAATGGAGAAAATCATGAAATTTGGTAAGAAGTTCCTGGGCACACTGCAGATTACAGTTTCCAAGTAGTTTTTGGTTGTTGTTGTTGTTGTTGTTGTTGTTTAATTGTTGATTTGTTGATTTGTTTGATTTTTCGGGGGGATATGGTTGGTTTGTTTTGTGTGTTTTTTTGGGGGGGTTGTTTGTTTGTTTGTTGTTGTTGTTGTTTGGTTTTGTTTTTTGCTTGTTTTTTTTTTGTTTTTTTAGGGGGG